CAATCAACTATATTTCTCCAGAATCGTTTACTGCGCCTTTAATTGATGAAAATAATCATAAATTGCAGCCGTGGTTGCAAGAACGTTTTGACTGATTCCTCCTTAAATTACAACTGAGCACACAGCTGATGACATGAGGTAATCATATGGGGTGATAATAAAGTGAAAAAGCCACATATTTTTCATTGCTGCATGCTATTAATCCCTGAAGGAGAAATTCTCTTTCTGCTCGAATTCCTTCCTACATGGAGGCCAGAGGTCAAAGATCACACGCAGACAAGCTCCTACAGAGCCGAAATAGATTCAGAGTTTTGCTAAAGGACACTTAGGTTGAAGCTGAACTGATGTACAAACCATTTACTTACTCATTTTTATGTTTACTGTGAGGGGTTTTTAATTTTTAAATCTAGAAGTATTTTTTCATACTGCACAAAACAGAAACATCCAGGAAATGAACCCTGGTGCTTCCTAAAGCCAGATGACATGTCCACCCTCCTCCCCTCATCCCATCCATTTCTCATCACTTCTCCAGCTGCTCACCCTCATCCTCGTGGCCCGGGGGGAGGCTCCTCTCGCGGATGGTGTAGTTGGCGGAGAATCCCTCTCTGGCAATGGCGTTGTCGGTGGTGATGGTCATGGACAGGATGCCGGTGTAGGAAATCACACGGCCCGGGGACGTCTGGCCACAGTACCGGCCAATGTGAGGACCCACTGTGGGAGGATGCAGAGGAAGGGTAAGAGGGAGGTAGGAAAAGAGGGGAGAGACAAAGTGGAGTGAGAGATGGAGCGGGGGGGGGGTGAAGAAAAAGGAGAACGTCAGCTTCATCACTCATCAACTGCAGAGCGCTTTTATTATTCACTTTGTCCTTTTCTACCCTCACTGTCCCGGGAAATGTTTCGTGACTTTAGGCAAAAAAAAACAATAATCCGTTAAATCTACACCGAACTCACATCTAAAAATGTCCAATTTAGATCAAAAAGCCTCCAGAAAACAAAAAGTTTGTTTAATCTGCTGTGTTCAGAGTCTTTAGACAAATACAAAGAGCAGCTGATCTCCTGTCAGCAACAATCTCTCACCCCTCATGAGTGATGTGACACCTTTGAGACAGGAATAAAGGTGAGACGGTAGGTGACAGAAACGCTCATTTCCACAACATATTGCATTGACAGGTATTATCCCAAAACTATATATATAAACTGTGTATCTAAATCATTTCAGGTAAAGAACAACCCTTTTATCTCAAGAGTATTGTGTTAAATATGAGTGTTTTGTCTTCCTGTTAGCTCTCACATTCACAACTTTGAGTCCAGGTTGTTAAAATAAGATGTATTAATAAGCTTCCTAATGTAATATAATGACTGACATCCAATTAAAACAATGGTATTATATTCTTTTTTGGAAAGATTAGTTCTCATCACATGCAGTGCTATGAGAAGTACTGCAGATGAGGCCTGAAAAAGGTATTTTTATGCCTCAAAAAGCAAAAAGGACCCCTAATGGGCAGGAAATGTGGTTATTCAAATGTAACTTATCAAACGGGAAGAATGACCCATTTTATTCCTTATTATAATTAACATTAAGTCTGGAGTTTCAGACTCTGAGAACACTCAAGGCTAAAGAAACAAGACTGTCAGACCTTCGAACATTTGCTCCCAGTTTTTGCCTCTCACGTATCATGGCTACATTCATGTCCCAGAGCTAAGCCTCCATTTTTCAGGAAGATATAAATCCCCAGCAGTCTTTGGAAAAGCCCAAAGGTAGTTTACAGAACTTACAGCAGTCTTGCAGGTATTTCTAAGAATCCTCAAACTATTATTATTACTATAACCAACCTAGATGAACAAATAAGGTAATACTTTTGTTTTGTAGGGGTCCGTAATTTCCTGAAAGGACAATGTAATGGATCCTTTTTCACAGCAGCCATTCTGACATGAAGGTTCAGGTTAGTGTCAGGGTGCTGCTATAGTGTATGTTGGCACCCAAATTATAGGAAACATATGTAGTGTGTGTATATATATATATTAAAGTAAATCTCAATTTTAACCAATTTATAATGAATTTATAATGAGAAACTGTATTTTCCATTTGTCTGCTGTGGACAAATGTCACATTTTTAATGCAGTGTGCCTACCAGTAGCAGGAATTACTTGGAAGTGTACCAATTAAATTAGCTGTCCCTGTTTTCCCTACAAGCAATTATGTGGTTCTTCTTAGAAGAATTCTTGGAAATTACGGATCAGTAAAAATAAAGTGTTACCAAAAATAATCCATCAGCTGCATAATACTACTAATAAAACATTTTAACTCGTTTCCAGATTTGATACTGTTTATCAGCCCTAAAAGGATCCTGAAGCACCAATAATAATAGATTTTATTCATGCCACACAAATGAAGCTAAAGTTAAGCTTTGTTGCTTAAAAATCTTAGTCAATTATTCAGTGGACAGATAATTCTCAGACCAAGACGGACA